ACAAAGAGATTATGAAACGTTATTGGATTTCCATGAAGTCATTTGAACTACCTGGTTTTGGCCATATTGAGGAGCTAAATCAACCTAAATTTGAACTGATCAAGAGTTTTCACAATGGTTGAAGCAGTAATGGGTGATAAAAGTGAAGTAGGTGGGGAAAGCATCAGTTTTGGGCTACATTTAGCCACTATTTAAGCTTATTAAGGACAACGGCCAGAAAAAGACGATGGTTAGAGTGACCATCACCAGAAAGGATGTCTCGCTAATAACCTCCAAGTATAGACAATAAGAACATTAGGCGCAACACTTTGAAGCACAGTTCAACCGGCTGACAAAATAACTTCAGTTACTCAACATCCAGCATGAACCTGAATGTGACGTATATGTTGGTCCTCCAACCCTCCTTAAAGTTAAGAAAGATGTTTTGGACCTGATACAATTCAGAGCAGGGTGATCTGACAGTTGGCTACTCGAATTTTTCAACTGTAAAGGCAGCAAACTGTTGATTAAGTTAACGGAGGTACTAGGCAGTATTTGAGAATCAGAGGTATTGCGGTCAGACTGGTCAGACTGCTTCACTGATCACTCCAGTCTATTAGAAGATAGAGAAGTCCTATTGTGACAACCATAGAAGAATCAGATTAAATAATATCATTTCCAAGATTCTAGGATTCATAGCTATCCAATGTCTTACTGGAACTGAAGAACAGCAAACTTGAGGAAACCAAGCAGGTTTCAGTGCAGATTGAGGGTGCATCGCTCAGATATCCGCCCTTTGGCATGTTTTAAATCCTTGGCATACTTTGCCTGTGGCCAACCCTCTCCATATTTCTTGACCTGAAGGAGTCATTTTTGAGGCATTTTAGCAGTATCTGAGTATGAAAAAAGTATTGAGTAAGCATATCGTGCTTATCACCGCTCTCTGTTCGAATTCACACACCCGTTTTAGGGCTTACAGACAGTTGTCATCAGAGTTGACGACAATTTGTGGCGTCCCCCAGTATTTCCTACTGTCCCCGTTCCTATTTAACTTCGTTATAGACATACTCATGGATACACGTTTGGGTATCTCTAACTTTAAATGGATTAAACTACTCCTTGGATTTCATCTAGTTGACTTGAAGTATTCAGACGATATTTTCCTGGTAAGTGAATACGCCGATAAAATGCAGGGTCTTCTAAACGCGTTGAGCAGAAATCTGAGTATATTTGGAATGCGTGTCGCATCTGTCAAATGTAAGATAATGCTTTTGGACTGGTCTGCACCTTCTCCCAGTTTTATGACAGAGAGTGAAGTGGTTGAATGCAGCTACCACTTAACTTGACTGTGGAGCCACATCAGCCTGAACGGGCTCGTTTTTTACAGAATCTAAGCCAAATATGAAAGGGTCGTTTGGTATTTGCCAACTTATATCATCTCTGGCGTTGGAGAGATATCCAACTATCTACCGAAGAACATGACCATTAAAAGTAAAGAGATGAAGTGCTTGCGGGATGTTGGTCATAAGTGCCTTTGTAGCATTTTTTGCGCATGGTGAAATCACTATATGGACGTTTTCGAAGTTAGGCGAAGGGTGCTGAACAAGGAAGGTAATTTAGTCGACGCAGTTATCTTGTGCGTTCCGATTCACCGTATACCCCAATGTGTAATGCTAGATTAATTCGGATTAGGCTGGAGGAAGGCTCTTTCAGTGCATGGCGGTGATGAGTCTCTTAACCCGGTGACTACAGCCTGAAAAAATCCTTTGAATTCCATTGGTATATTGGATTAGACAATATGAAGTTCGTTAACCTCCAGTGGCCAATCAGTTTATGCAATCAAGTCCTACACCAGGTTAATCGCTGCCGAAGTAACTCAATGATAATGTTTCTGACTGAAGCACTGAGTGATGTGGGTTCTAATCTCAGGCGGTATGTGGGATGCATTAAGATGGCAGATATGCCTTGCTGATGAGTGCCAAAAACCACGAAAACTAGGTACAGGATTTCCTGCTGATTGGATCCGTCCAAACAAAAGAAGGCTAAGAGTGGCCAAATTGGCTGATTTATCGGTCAGTGAGGTCTCACTCTATTGATCTGAGCTATTTAAATAGGTATAGACTGTGTGACTAGGGTCACTGGGACCATGGGCTCTTGGTGGAATGGCTGAAAATCGGTATTAGTGGCCCAGATTTATTGACTCTATTGTCCTCTAAGTTTTGAATATTTGCAATTACATTAACTTCGATTTGTTTCTCCTCCCATATACCTTTATCTACTATGGTTTTACTCTTTTTCCATTCACTTGTTCTTTGCTTGCTACCGTGAAATGTGTCAACTTCGACCGATGTACTTGTGTACGAGGTCTTACGTTGATTTTGTCTCCTTGTCTGGTTACTCCATCTTTGTGCATTTATTTTACTTAGTTCTATGCGCTCTCTTTTTAACGTTAATTGTTCACTGAATAACGTCCAAAGTTTTGCAATTCTAGTGTGCTTGTGCATTTATCGCATATATACTAATTACCAACGTGTTTCTGTTACCTGCCTACTTCTGAAAACAAATCTGGGTGAATTGTATTTATATAGTTGTCTTCGATATTGAAGTCACCTTATTCCCGTCCTTTAGGATTTACTTTAATCAGCTGATTACGTAACGGATAGCAAAAATATTATGACTATTGTATATTCCTTCTTCCTGTCTTCATCACCTGATGATTGTTACTGGAAATCAAATCTTTCCTGCCAAATAATGTGAACTGTCCTTCCTTTCATGGCTAACTGCTTGTCGTAAAATGTGACAATATTCTTGTAGTCCTATAGAAAAATAGGTTTTTTTGATAATACTGTTTACCGTTAATATCTATCAACTATTCTTAACAGAGCATCACTCAAACACATTGGAATATGATATTATTACATATCCAGAAGATTAAAACATCTCCACATTCTAAATTAAGTTATCATCTACTGAAAACGTATATCATTTTGTTATTTAATTGCAAGTAAAATAGCACATCTTTGTAATACGTTATTTATTCTAATGTTATTTCATGGACTTTGAAGAGTGCTCAGTGACTTGATTCCCCTTCTGCTTCGCTCAACTTGCCGAAACTGACGTTTCATTGTTTTTTAGATAGTTTAGTTTCATTTGTTCCTGATATTTATCTCAAACATAAACAAGTTAATAGAAAGTCGCTGTGTGCTAAAGCGATGCCAATATTTGATACTTTATTATTCTGCAATCTATATTTAAGAGGCTTAACCTAATGTATGGAAAATATGTTAAAAATAAAGACTCAGGCGACTGTTATATGAAGTGGCTGATGATAACACTTCATATTTCTAGACACTTTTCACAAAGGAAAATAGCCAAACTGGACACAAACTCACAATAAACCTTAAAACCTTATTTAATAGACCCTGGTTCCTAGCAACCTCACCTTGGTAACTGCGCTTTTGAATTGTTTAAGGAGAATGTATTGACAACAAACATTATGGGATGAATCGAATTCATTCCATGTACTCTAAATCTTCCACATACGCACTAGATTTAAAATTGCATACAGTAAGCTGTCAATGTCCAGTATAAGTCATTTGATACATTTCAATAGTAAAAACGGCACTATATACATCTTTCACATCTAAAATTCAATATTTATATACAGGAACAAAGATGAATGATAAAGTTTATAACCTCATCAACCAATATAGGGAACAAGTAACATAACAAATGAGACTATAAATCGATCAGTAAGCACAAAGAATACAACAGGATGTAATAGTATTACAGGAATATGATTAGGGCTCAAAAAATAGAAACTTTGAGCAAACGAAATGAATTTGATTCAGCCCACAATCTTTTTTGTTCTTACTTTGCTAATTGTATACAGGGAACCAAATGTATGAAAATATCTGACACTAATGATGAAGACTGCAAGTCAAAAGTTACCATAAAGATCGTAAAATGTAGTCTACTCTTTTCAGAATGAAACCACCGGATTTCTCTTCATTTATAAGAACAAACTAATTTACTGCTTAGAGGCCACTTCCAGAAATGTTTTGACGATATTACTTTGACATTTTTAGCTGCCTACAGATAACTTTAACCATATTTTACTTTATGTCTTTTCTGATTATGTATGGTGAGTCTCCATTATTACCCAGATATTTTCGAACAAATTTATTATTCTTGATTATCCAGTGAGAATATTGTTGCCAATTAAACCATAGTTCAGTCGCAATACCTGTTTCCATCAGCAATCTATTTTTCGAAGTTTGCAGTTTCTAGTCAGGAGATGATAAGTCCAGTCACACAGATTTATGCAATTTTTTAGTGCCTGCATATCCTTATTAGTACGCATATCTATATTCGTATGCATGTAAGATATATCTTATCAGATCAATTTTATGTATAATTGGTTGATAATCAACATAAAACACAGCAACAATAGAACACCATCAAATAAATGCTATGTAAATATTTTAAAACAAGAGTTCAAGTTTTCGACGTCAATACAGCTTTATCATAAATTCATTTAGGCTTAATTTTTGATTTTCACCATTGTAAACCTTTTGTCGTGTATCTCCATCATATTCAAATTATTAAGTATAACCATGTACAAATTAAATCCTCAACTACTTTGTGACAAAAACCTTGAAATTCCACACTTCAGAATACCAATCATCGCAATGCTACGTCATCAATTAAAGTATCACGAAGATGCATTTTTGTCCTTGTTGAGGATTTTTTAGAAAGAACTACTGCTCATAGTTTCATGATTTATATATATATATATATATATATATATATACATATATGCTGAACTATAATCAGTTATTTAAAATCTTCTAGTATGTAAAACTACAAAATGATCCTTTCTAAGAAGTGACTCTAAGCGTGAGTTGGATCAGAGCAAGAAGGTTACAGAGTTTTTATATTAGCATAAAATTTCTATATTTTACAGATGAATATCAACTGAAGGTTTCCTAATGAAGATTGTATCACTTTCTTTTAACCAGGTATATCAAGAGGAGTTGGATTTGTCCGCTTCGACCAGCGAACAGAAGCAGAAAAAGCAATTAAGCAATTCAACGGAGTAACTCCCCCTGGAGCAGCAGACCCAATCACTGTTAAATTGGCCTGTTCTCCATCCTCACTGTCGACCATTCTTTCATCGATAACCAATAGATTGAAAAATCACAATAATGATGTTCTTTGCTCGAGTGAGAATTCGCTTCCAACTCGGGATCCACGTATCAAATATATGAACAATCTTAGGAAAGCCTTGATCGCTCATCTCGTTAATCCAGCTCCTGCTTCTAAATATCTCACAAAATCCGACAAAGATGAATTAAATTTGATGATTCCAAACCAGGTATAATTAAAAATGAGGTCTTTTTCTGTCAGAAAACCACATTTGCTTCCAGTTTGAATTACCTTTACGTCCTTATCCAAACTAACAAACGTTTCGACTTTCTTTCAGGAAGGTCTTCACGTAGTCTTTATTATATTACTAAAAAAACACATACGTATGTGATATTAATGTATGACTTAGTGTTAAAAGTGTTGGTTTATGAGGCTTTCTACTTAGTAACATTCAACTGTTTTATTACTGCTAAACTATTTTTGCAATATCAACTGCACTCACATAGGGAGTGATCTATAAGTGCAGAATATAACTGTTGCCTGGTAAACTGCAAATTTTGTCCAGCACAATCGGGCTTTTCGTTAAGTATGATAAAAATAAACTGTTTTTTTTCTAATTTGCATCAAATTCGAATCCAATTTATTCAGTAATTAACAGTAACCAGAGGACAAAACAGAACGAATATCTGGACCGAATCGCGATAAGTAGAGAAAACCAGTCAGTATGTAGATAGATATTTATATGTTATATAAATATAGGATTGCATAAAATGTGAGTAAAGTACTTATTCCGAAGCAGATTTCACTGCAAAAACGATATCAGTTTCCGATTTACTGTGCACATTATTACCTGATTCTTGACAGTCGAAATTCGGCATAAAACCCTGTGCTTAGCAGAAACGTCCTAATTTTTCATGTCATTAATAATTTGAAAGAAAATTTCAAACTGTGTCTCATCAACCATATCTTGATCACTGTAGAATTTAGTTTTCTGGTTGTTAAAAGCACTCATAGGACTGGTAGACAATGAATTGATGCCAGCAATACAAATGAATCACTTTCAGCAATTTGCACAGCAAAGTGCTGAATGCGTCTTGACATGAAACAGCTTTTTTTGTAAATTGTAACTTTCGTCCTTGAAATATTGCTTTCATTAGCAATACATTTCTACTTGTCACTGCATTTATGCTATTTTCGTCGACATTTCAGGAGCCCCATGTAAGTCAAGCATTCCTTTTGATTATGAAACTATTCAGATGTCACTTAAGTGGTTACCCGATATAACTGGAGCCGCTAAAGTGGGTTTTTATTTAATCATCGAAAAAAAACTGAGACAGTAGAATATCGCAATACCGGAAGAATTATTACTGTCAACCAAATAATACCTTGAAGAATAGTAGAATGTTTTATTCCAAAATCTTAGTATTTTGCCAGTTTCCTAATCACAAGTGAAAATCTACAGTATGCTTCAAATACCTTTGCTTCCAGGCATTTCATTGACACACCAATAATGAATCTTCTCATTTCATTTTAACCCGTAGTCACCAAATATTATCATATTAGAGACAAATCTTTCAGAAAAACTTGAGTTATTGTATAATTATAGAATATTAGGAGAACTATCCTCATGCATCAAAACACTTAAATCCAAGTTAAATTACAGCTTTTTTGAATCTGTTCGACGTCTTTGGTGTTTTGATGAAAAATAATTTCGTTGAGCATATTTACTGGTTAAACTTTTCAAACATTTAGTAAGCAATGGAAATAGTCAAAAGCAGGTATTCGGATGAACCTACATTGAATACTTTATAGACATCAGACGTTTTTATATCTCCGTCTCTTACTGTAATATAAGCAACCCATTTACAGTCTTATCTTCTACAGACTACTGAACAGTGTTTAAGATGAATTAGCTTTTGCGTATATGTCTTTAGATTTTATATTGAAGACAAGATCAAAGGCAACAAAATCCTTATAACATTTTATTTATCAAGTTTCTGTTATTCCTTTTCGTTTGATCACTAAATTTCTTCAGAGATCGTACTCATCTAACAGAAATATGTGTACTGAATAAAGGAAAGATAAATTATATTTACACCACAGTTTCACTTACAATATTTTTTTCAGAACAATACAGTTTGTAAGAGCATAAATAAGCATTATTCAGAATTTTAAAATGAAATTTCATTGAGACTCCAAACGCAATCTTTACTAATAACCATTATGTTGAGCGACACAACCAATTTTGAAATAAAATTCCTACAACAAGATTGGGCTTTGGATGATATGGAAAGCTGTTACTGTTGATCTGGTGAAGAATATTTGTAGCACAGGTGGATGGCCTTGGTAGTATTGTGTCATCTCAGCTGGGCTGTTTAGTCGTGGAGCTCTCATCATCTTGCTAAATGACATCATCAGCACTAACTTCAGTATGAAGTTAGCTGTCAGTATCTCTCCATTAGTGATTGAGTATCATAGCCTGACGAACTGTTTTGTGATTGATTGTTTCCTTTGACTGTTGTGTCATTGACTGTATAGATTTTCCTGTTGGTTGTTCCTCTGTTTGACTTCCGACATTTCTGTCGTTTATCATTTCTCTAATTGATTGATAGACTGGGTCTATGTCTATACATCTGCTGATTGCTCACTGACCTGAATGCCAAGCTTCTAGGAATTCTCTGATATTCTTTGTGTTTCCTCTGTCTGAAATTTTTACATTGTTGAGATTAAATCCATGTCCATAATTATCTACATGCATTGGAATGAGTGGTGAAATGTCGTGACGTTTAATAGACAATTGGCGTTCATGTAGATGAAGACAAAGAGGAAGACCACTTTTTCCAATGTAATGTTGACTACAGTTATTACAGTTAATTTTGTAAATGATATTCTGTTTTTCTTCTTTAATTATTACGTCCTTTGGTCTGAATATAGTGCTTGCAAGGAATTTGTTGATTTATGAGCCATACCAATTCCAAGTGGTCTCAGTAATCTTGTCGGGATTTCTGATATATTCTTTATGTATGGTAGGATGATGCATTTATTGATTTTTGTCGGTGACTTTGTAATTGTTGTTGTACGGGATAGGCATCTTCTGATAAAGTTTCGTGGTAGCCATTCTTCCTCAGGATAGACACCAAGTAATTTTCTTCATTTCTCCGTGAAGTTGTTGTACTGCAGTGTGTTCTCACTCTTTTAATAGAGTCTTCACGCAACCGATTTTGTGTTCTGTTAGTTTGTTGCTGCTGTAGTTTAGGATTTGGTCAGTGTGTGTTGACTTCCTGTACATTTGGGTTTCCAGCTTCTCGGTATTCGTTCTACTGACTAAAATACCCAGGAATGGTAGTTGGCTGTTCGACTCCTTCTCCACCGTGAATCCGATATCATTGAAAACGTTGTTGATCAATCTGTGAGTGTTTTCTATATCATCTTTCTTAATGATGACAAAGTATCGTCTGCATAGCCAATCCAAAATTTTTAGTTGAATCAAAGTGGAATGATGGCTTCCAGTCTCTGCATTACTGCTTCTGCAATTAATCCTGATACCAGCGATCCTGTTGGAGTTCCTACCATCTGTCTGTATATCTTGTCACTGAACTGGAATTATATTGCTAGGCCTAGGTCAATGAGTCCCATCAGACTTGAACATCTACGTTTTATGCATTCTGTAAGGCTTGTATCTTCAGTAGAAGGGACATAGTTCCCTTGGTCAATTGGGTTTCAGTGGATGTGTAAAGTCTTGTGACATTGAAGGATAACAAAATGGAAGAAGCTATTCTTCAGAAAGGATTGAACCACAACACTGGAGGTGCTTCAAAACCAGAAATTTTTGCTGCATTAGAATCGTCTCTTAAAACACCAGGATTAAACGAAGTTACTTAACAAGAAATACGGCAAACAATAGTACCACTGACCAGGCAGAAGAGACATCACGTTCAAACGAACACTCAAGAATATAAAACACTTAAAAGACTGAAAAGTGGGAAAGATATAGTTATACTTTCAACAGACAAAGACGCATTACAGTAGTCATGGACAAACAAGACCATATCAAGAAGGCGAAGAAGTTGCGCAAAGAGGAAAATGTATGTCAACCACTTGAAACAAACCCTATTCCTAGAAGCTTGGCATTCAGGTCAGTGAGCAATCAGCAGATGTATAGACATAGACCCAGTCTATCAATCAATTAGAGAAATGATAAACGACAGAAATGTCGGAAGTCAAACAGAGGAACAACCAACAGGAAAATCTATACAGTCAATGACACAACAGTCAAAGGAAACAATCAATCACAAAACAGTTCGTCAGGCTATGATACTCAATCACTAATGGAGAGATACTGACAGCTAACTTCATACTGAAGTTAGTGCTGATGATGTCATTTAGCAAGATGATGAGAGCTCCACGACTAAACAGCCCAGCTGAGATGACACAATACAACCAAAAGCTTTAACTGTATTAGATAACGTATGAAAAAATCGTTGTTTCTTTGTCTTCAAAAGCCAGTCGGCGTTTGTGGGTTAAAGAAATTTAGCTTTAAAAGTACTCTCAAGTACTAATTTTTAATTCATTAATTTACTGAAACACAATTTTCTAAACTTTATTGTTCATCGTGCATGTTAATCTAGTTTACTTACTTGTTTGAACCATTTATTTCAGTAGTATCTTATTGTTTAAAAAGTTTCTTGTGATAGCAAGCTTGCTTCAGCTTCTTGGCTATAGCAGAATTCTCATTCTATAGAGAATGACTTGTACACAACTGAGCTGTATGTATCATGTTTGAAATTCATTACTCATATTCGAGATGGTTGATGATAAGCGCTTCCGCTAGTCTATATCTAAAGTTCTACTCTTTACACAAACGTTTGCTATCAGTTTCGTATTCCTTTTTGTGAAAACTATTTAAACTATGAGAAACTTATTCGCCTGTCGTCATTGTCTAAAAGTCAAAGAGATTAGTCATTCTGGTAAGGGAACAGATTTCTGAATTTTTAACAATTTTCTCATCTAATGGACTCGAAAGTCATTTGCAACAAAAACGCGATATGTTGTCTACCAATAGTTTCCGTATCAAAATAAATTCGTTGGAGACATATGATTCATGCACCCACCGAAAAAAGTATTACCACTAACCAGTAATAATCATACATAGAGATTATTCTATTATAGCCCTAAAAGATCGGTCCTTCACAATGGTGAAACGTTTGATTTGTAATTTACACGAAAAGC